CTTACAGAACATCAGAGCAAGACAAGATACATGGATCTGGGATTACTCCCCTTACATTGTGGGGCTTACAGAACATCAGAGCAAGACAAGATACATGGATCTGAGATTACTCTCCTTACATTGTGGGGCTTACAGAACATCAGAGCAAGACAAGATACATGGATCTGAGATTACTCTCCTTACATTGTGGGGCTTACAGAACATCAGAGCAAGACAAGATACATGGATCTGAGATTACTCTCCTTACATTGTGGGCCTTACAGAACATCAGAGCAAGACAAGATACATGGCTCTGAGATTACTCTCCTTACATTGTGGGCCTTACAGAGCATCAGAGCAAGACAAGATACATGGCTCTGAGATTACTCTCCTTACATTGTGGGCCTTACAGAACATCAGAGCAAGACAAGATACATGGATCTGAGATTACTCTCCTTACATTGTGGGACTTACAGAACATCAGGGCAAGACAAGATACATGGCTCTGAGATTACTCTCCTTACATTGTGGGACTTACAGAACATCAGAGCAAGACAAGATACATGGAACTTGTAATATTTGACTGACATTGGCTGGCTTATAATATTATTGAGCAATTCTATCGTTACCCTGAGGATGGGAACGGTATGGAAGAGTGTAAACACTCGTAAGACTGATATGTTATCTAAGGTCATGGCAACATGTGTACCAACCTTTTTGTTGTTGTTTACTATTGTTTTAATAATCAGAAGCACAATTGTAAACAACTGTAGTCACTCTAAGACTGTAGGTCAGCCTTGGAAGAATGTTAGTCACTCTATGACTGTAGGTCAGTTTTGGAAGAACGTTAGTCACTCTATGACTGTAGGTCAGTTTTGGAAGAATGTAAGTCACTCTAAGACTGTAGGTCAGTCTTGGAAGAACTTTAGCCACTCTAAGACTGTAAGTCAGTTTTGGAAGAACTTTAGTCACTCTAAGACTGTAGATCAGCATAAGAAGAACTTTAGTCACTTTAAGACTGTAGATCAGTCTTGGAAGACCTTTAGACACTCTAAGACTGTAAGTCAGTTTTGGAAGAACTTTAGTCACTCTAAGACTGTAGATCAGCATTAGAAGAACTTTAGTCACTCTAAGACTGTAGGTCAGCCTTGGAAGAACTTTAGTCACTTTAAGACTGTAGGTCAGTCTTGGAAGACCTTTAGTCACTCTAAGACTGTAAGTCAGTTTTGGAAGAACTTTAGTCACTTTAAGACTGTAGATCAGCCTTGGAAGAACTTTAGTCACTTTAAGACTGTAGGTCAGTCTTGGAAGACCTTTAGTCACTCTAAGACTGTAAGTCAGTTTTGGAAGAACTTTAGTCACTCTAAGACTGTAAGTCAGTTTTGGAAGAACTTTAGTCACTCTAAGACTGTAGATCAGCATTAGAAGAACTTTAGTCACTCTAAGACTGTAGGTCAGCCTTGGAAGAACTTTAGTCACTTTAAGACTGTAGGTCAGTCTTGGAAGACCTTTAGTCACTCTAAGACTTTAGGTCAGTTTTAGAAGAATTTTAGTCAATCTACGACTGTAGGTCAGCATTAGAATAACTTTAGTCTCTCATAAGACTGTAGTTCAGCCTCGGAAGACTTACCTTCTTGGCTAATCTCTTGTACTGCAGCCTGAAACAAAGAATTGCACAACTCTATAAATATAAAAATACAAATAAAACGAATAAAAATGTGTACAAGATTTAAACTTAGCATTTGAGAACGACTTAAAATCTCTAACTTGAAACAAAATTATAGTCATAGTAGATTCCATCAATTTAACAATAAGTTTGGCTGTGAATACTTACACGTTCAATGATCTGCTGTGCTTCGAACTTATTGATTTTATGGGGGCTGTTTGTAACAGTTGTGTTGATTCTAAAATATATATATATAATATTTTTAATCATTAAATTCATGAAATAATCATGTTACATAAAGATATTTTAAATTCACAACTCTTCCATTTTTTAAATTTTTTTTTTAAATTTTAAATTAGTTGGCCTATATCAGGAACAGTAATTCTCATTTTTTTAATTATTGTTCCTGAGTTACTTTTTACTCAGGAACAGTATTTCAAAATTAGAATTACCGTTCCTGAGAGAGTTAAATTACTATATCAGGAAGGGAAAATCTTTTTTCTTTTTCTTTTTTTTTTCTTTAGTATGACGGACTGTCCGGAAATAGACCACTAAACAACTAGACCTATCCCCAACCCTAAAAACAACTAGACCGTTGACGTTTGCAGTGTAACGATCCAGAGTTGGCGGACCACCACTTTGAATAGCACTGATTTTCGATATAGTAAATAGAATACAAGTAAATTGAACAATTTACCAACAAAAAACTCAGAAGAAGAGTTTGAAGGGGGAAAAAAACAACAAAAAAAAAACAACAAAAAAAAAACTTCAAATAAAAAAAATCCTCCATTTATTTAAATTGTCGAACTGTAATGAAAATACTTAAGTTAGAAATGTGTTTAATTACTATGAACTATTTCGCGTAAAAAATAGCTATAATAAAAGCCAACAAACAAACAAACAAAGAGATAGTCACACACAAAATCACAATCGCGAAAAAATGAACCACAATCGCCTTAGCTACCTGGAGCATAGGCTACAAATGTTGGTCAGAAGATGTCGTTTAACATTGTTACCACAGAGCTCTATGTTTATGACTATGACGGTAACACGAAAAGCTCACCTGGAGATCGAAGAACTCCCAGGAGAGCTGACGAGGGCACGCCACTGACTGTGCGATTCTTGAATCACTTGCAAGGCGTAATCCTAGAGATTACACAAAACACATGTTGAGACCGTTTGTGAAAGAATGTCAGTGTTCAAACAAATGAATCTACTTCTCGATAGATAAGGAGGCAGGAATTAAAAGCTTGTTCGAAAGGCTGAGACTTGGTATGCAAGCACGAGGTACACAGTCAGGGGTGTAGCAAGGGTTAGTGCCGCCCGGGGCGGAGCAAAATTGTTGCCCCCCCCCCTTCCATGAAAAAACTGGATTACCGGAAATTTGTTTTAAAGAAATGTCGTCGATGGAAAATTGATTGACGGAAAGTTGATCGAGCGGAAATTTGGTCGAATCTTTTTTTTCAGTTCACGCGATCAAATTTTCATCAACTTTCTTTTTGAACGCATTATACTGTTAACTATATAGTTAAATAAAACAATGTCTTAAAAAAAAAAAAAATTGATGCAAAACTTTAACGTGTGAACTGGAAAAAAGATTCGATCAAATTTCCGTCGATCAATTTTCCGTCGACGAAATTTCTTTCAAACAAATTTCCGGATACGAAAAAACTGCAGTTAGCCGAAAATGCCATCCCCCCAGATAAAGCAAAAAGTGCCACCAGGAGCGGACTGCCCTTACCCCCCCCCCCCACCCTACCACACTCCCCTTCCAACCACTTTATACTACAGTACGATTCCCCAGTAGTTTAAAATTTCTTTCAAACAAATTTCCGGAAACGAAAAAACTGCAGTTAGCCGAAAATGCCATCCCTCCAGATAAAGCAAAAAGTGCCACCAGGAGCGGACTGCCCTTACCCCCCCCCCCCCACCCTACCACACTCCCCTTCCAACCACTTTATACTACAGTACGATTCCCCAGTAGTTTCATGTCTTGCAAACTCTTCTTATACAGCAGTTTAATCCTCGTAGGTGAGATGGATAGCATTCAAGTATGGCATTCTGGTATCTCCAGGATGTTGATGATACAAGGTGTTTGTGTTGGCATGATACAAAGTGGAGAAAGGGAACTCGAGTGTTTCATATACAATGGCGGAAAGGAAAAAAAAATAAAAAGGTTAAAATTACAATCCTAATTGGAAATAATAACCTGTAATACATAGCATAGCAATTAGAGAAACAGCTGAATGTAGCAAATACCACCAATACAACCAAAATACCTTCAACATAAACAAAATACCCTCAATAAAAGCAACATACCTTCAATATAAACAAAATACCATAAATACAACCATCATACCATCAATACAACCACCATACCATCAATACAACATCATACCATCAATACAAGCAACATACTATCAATACAACAATCATACCATCAATACAAACAACATACCATCAATACAACCAGCATACCATCAATACAACCAACATACCGTCAATAAAACCATCATACCATCTATACAACCAACATACCGTCAATAAAATCATCATACCATCTATACAACCAACATACCATCAATACAACCAACATAACATCAATACAACCAGCAGGCCATCAATACAACCAACATACCATCAATGCAACCTGCATACCATCAATACAAGGAACATACCGTCAATAAAACCATCATACCATCAATACAACCAACATCCCATCAATACAACCAGCATACCATCAATACAACCAACATACCGTCAATAAAACCATCATAAAATCAATACAACCAGCATACCATCAATACAACCAACATACCATCAATACAACCAGCATACCATCAATACAAGCAACATACCGTCAATAAAACATTATACCATAAATACAACCAGCATACCATCAATACAACCAACATACACGCAATGCAACCAGCATACCATCAATACAACCAACATACCATCAATACACCCAGCATACCACCAATACAAGCAACATACCTTTCCCTTTGCTTCTCCGTTGAAAGCAAATTGATTTTCTGGTTTATTGTCCGGGACTTTGTAATAAGTAAACCAGTCATGCGTGGCCTGGACAAGAGTGGACATGAAATGTGTCTTGATAGATGAACCAGGTAGTTTAGCACAAGGCAAATTAGATCAAACTAATAGTTTTGTATGGAAAATTGAGTTTGAAGATTCGCGCCATTATAAACCAGGCTCAGATTTGTCTATTTATATATTAATGGGTGCCCTACAGTAACTACAACATACTATTAAATTTGGCGCCCTGCAGTAACTGTAAAATAGTATTAGATTTGGCGTCCTACAATAGCTACAACATAATATTAGATTTGGTGCCCTACAGTAACTACAACATAATATTAGATTGTGGTGCCCTACAGTAGCTACGAGATAGTATTAGATTTGTTGCCCTACAGTAACTACAACATAATATTAGATTTGGTGCCCTACAGTAACTACGAGATGGTATTAGATTTGGTGCCCTACAATAACTACAACATAATATTAGATTAGGTGCCCTACAGTAACTACGAGATGGTATTAGATTTGGTGCCCTACAGTAACTACAACATAATATTAGATTTGGTGCCCTACAGTAACTGCAACATAATATTAGATTTGGTGCCCTACAGTAACTACAACATAATATTAGATTGTGGTGCCCTACAGTAACTCCGAGATGGTATTAGATTTGGTGCCCAGCAGTAACTATGGCATATAGTATTGGTATCATGACCATACCTTTATTAGACCAGGACAGTGGATCTCAATATCGGAAACATCTGTGAGCAGAAAACGATACTTTAAATGTAGAACTACTTTATAGATCATTTTAAAAAATGTGTGTGTATAAATGGAAAGCATTTTCCATCAATTTTTTATCATTTATATTTAATTGCCAAAGACAAGTGATACTCTGAAATCTTTGATTTTATTAACAGTATAATTTAGAATTTAGGGCATATGAAAAATAATATTAAGGTATGCAAATGTTTCATAAACCGAATTAGTTGCATGACAGCTGGTTCTTTATTGTCTTATAATCCGGTGTTACTTAAATACAACAGTGGACCACTTGAACTGACCATTGAGTTTGGGAGCTAGTGGATCTGTGGCATCAATAGCTAGAACTTTCCAATCTGTTTCCCCTGGTGAATGTCAAATAAAACAATTCTACATTAGCAGGTCATGACCGCCTGTAAAGAGGAGGATTAGTAAAAAAAAAAAAAAAAAGCGCTGCCCTATACAGAATGTAGATGGCCTCAGCCCTTAGCCCTAAGCAAGATGGCCCCAGCCCCTAGCCCTAAGCAAGATGGCCTCAGCCCTTAGCCCTAAGCAAGATGGCCTCAGCCCTTAGCCCTAAGCAAGATGGCCTCAGCCCTTAGCCCTAAGCAAGATGGCCTCAGCCCTTAGCCCTAAGCAAGATGGCCTCAGCCCGAAGCCCTAAGCAAGATGGCCTCAGCCCGTAGCCCTAAGCAAGATGGCCTCATTCCGTAGCCCTAAGCAAGATGGCCTCAGCCAGTAGCCCTAAGCAAGATGGCCTCAGACCGTAGCCCTCACTCATTTTTTAAAAAGGTGCCAAACTCACAACAGGGGCGTAGCTGGGATTGGTGCAACGGTTTGAGCCAAGATTTTTGCCGCCAAACTTCAGGACCAAAAAAAAACTGCGATTGGTCGAAAATGACACGCCCTCAATGTAAAGAGAAAATCTGCCACCCATGGCGGACCGCACCCCCCTTCCACACCCCGTTCCTATGCCCCATTACACATTACCTTCATCAATGAGGCACATAGCTCCAAGAATCTTCACTTGAATAACTGAACCCCTGGGGTGGACCTTAGATTAAAAAAAAAAAACAATTATTTTATGCTTTATTTTTTTCAAGCCCAGTTTTTAACAACTCAAATCAATTTTTCAATCTTTCCCAGTTTGTTTGTATCCAGAACACGTTCAATAATGAACGAAAAATACGTTCAAATATGTTCTATCAATGAAGCTATGCTCAGCATTAACTAAGCCATAAGAAAACACGCTTAAATGGTCTATGTGTTTAAATGGTCCATGTGTTTAAACGTATAATGTGTTTAAATGTCTGTGTTTAATGGTCTATGTATTTAAATGATAGGTCATGTACGTGTTTAAACGGTCTATGTGTTTAAATGGTCTATCTGTTTAGTGTATCTACCTTGTGACCGATCTCACAAACATCAATTGGGTCTGAATCTCCCTTCGTCCCAGTTTCCGGTGTGATATGAGCGGGGTCCTCAAACGTCTGAAAAAAAATGGGACCAAAAAAAAAACAACAAAGGGTGTCAGCTTTCAAAATTTAAAGAAAAAATAAATAAATTGACCAATCAATAAATAAGTTGACAAACAAATCTGTTTATTTGAATATAAAGAGGTTCATCCGCTGTTTACTCTGTGGTCCAATGAAATGGCGGGTCAAATTAACACCGTGACAGGGGACACATCACCTCAACGCAATCTAAACACAACACCAGACCGAAATATTCTGGGGGCTCTCGGTCTGGCGACGGGAGAACAGAAATTGCAAGTGGTCGCAGGGGAAAGAAGCTCGCAGAAGATGACGACTGTGACATGCAGGGGCGTAGGAAAGGAGTGAAGAGGAGGGTGGTCTATCGCCCCGGGTGGAAAATATATTTTTTTATATGGGAGGGGCGGAAATTTCGGCCAACTGAATATTTTTTGTGTGGAAAGTTTGGGGGTGGGGGGGGGGGGGTTAAAAAAATATTGGCCCTAGCCACGCCACTGGTGACATGCAATGTATAATTTCTCCAATCAGTTGTCTGCATAAAAGTATGAGAACCTTTAAGTCTCTTTAGGATTGATTTCCTTTAAATATATTTTATTAGAGAAGAAACGGAGGATGGTAAGTAAGAGAAGTGATTGTTTATGAACATGTATTACCTGTGGTAAGTAAGAGAAGTGATTGTTTATGAACATGTATTACCTATGGTAAGTAAGAGAAGTGATTGTTTATGAACATGTATTACCTATGGTAAGTAAGAGAAGTGATTGTTTATGAACAGGTATTACCTGTGGTAAGTAAGAGAAGTGATTGTTTATGAACATGTATTACCTGTGGTAAGTAAGAAAAGTGATTGTTTGTGAACATGTATTACCTGTGGTAAGTAAGATAAGTGATTGTTTATGAACATGTATTACCTGTGGTAAGTAAGAGAAGTGATTGTTTATGAACAGGTATTACCTGTAGTAAGTAAGAGAAGTGATTGTTTATGAACAGGTATTACCTGTGGTAAGTAGCCGTAGCTTCGCATGTAGCCATGGTAAGAAAAGTGATTTTTTTATGAACATGTATTACCTGTGGTAAGGCACCATATCTCCACGTGTAGCCCTGGTAAGAAAAGGGATTGTTTATGAACATGTATTACCTGTGGTAAGGCACCGTAGCTTCGCATGTAGCCATGGTAAGAAAAGTGATTTTTTTATGAACATGTATTACCTGTGGTAAGGCACCATATCTCCACGTGTAGCCCTGGTAAGAAAAGCGATTGTTTATGAACATGTATTACCTGTGGTAAGGCACCGTAGTTCCACATGTAGCCCTGGTAAGAAAAGCGATTGTTTATGAACATGTATTACCTGTGGTAAGGCACCGTAGTTCCACATGTAGCCATGGTAAGAAAAGCGATTGTTTATGAACATGTATTACCTGTGGTAAGGCACCGTAGTTCCACATGTAGCCCTGGTAAGAAAAGCGATTGTTTATGAACATGTATTACCTGTGGTAAGGCACCGTAGTTCCACATGTAGCCATGGTAAGAAAAGCGATTGTTTATGAACATGTATTACCTGTGGTAAGGCACCGTAGTTCCACATGTAGCCATGGTAAGAAAAGCGATTGTTTATGAACATGTATTACCTGTGGTAAGGCACCGTAGTTCCACATGTAGCCATGGTAAGAAAAGCGATTGTTTATGAACATGTATTACCTGTGGTAAGGCACCGTAGTTCCACATGTAGCCATGGTAAGAAAAGCGATTGTTTATGAACATGTATTACCTGTGGTAAGGCACCGTAGTTCCACATGTAGCCATGGTAAGAAAAGCGATTGTTTATGAACATGTATTACCTGTGGTAAGGCACCGTAGTTCCACATGTAGCCATGGTAAGGAAAGACGTTTTTAACAAATCTCAATTTCCCGTTCTTCACATCCTGCTTGATTGGATTCAATTTTTCTTCCTTATTGATCTAAAAAATAAAATACAATAACACATTTCAATGTCTGACCCAGGGTCCAGGGTATGTCCACTTCACGTAACACAGGATCTGTCCACTTTTCCTGACACAGTATATATCAACTAGATTTGACCCATGTATTGGTTGACGACAGTGATTGGTTGTTATGGCCTTCCCTTGTTTCTATTATTCCAGTGAAACGTACACTAATATTGTTTTCATGGCGTAGTGTTTCTGTTCAACCTTTCCATTACATTAACTTGTTCTATTGTGTTGTGTTCACCAGCGAATATTTATTGAGACATTGTGTTTATAATTTTTTTTTTAAAAATCATTTTCACTCCCAACTTATCTTACTTATACCACACTGAGCGGTCTCGGTGCACAGCAGCACAGACACACCACAGACACACACTCACTGACACACACAGACACACACGCGAACATACCAAAAGATTAAATAACTCGACACGAAGAAACTTGCGCGTGTAGCGCTTTTATCAACTGCACTTCCTGAAGGTTTCGGGCACATGAATTAGATTTAAAAAAAAAAAATAAATCATGACGTACGATTCGGGGGAATTCCCATTTTGAATTGCTTGGAAATAACATTTTCTTGGAATTTTTAAAGTAATAAATAAAATAAAATAAAATAATAATAATGAATCACTGTGATCACACTAACCTGGTCGAAACTAGAACAAACACACACACACACACACACACACACACATATATATATATATATATATATATATATATATATATATATAACCCACACTTACAAAAAGACAAATATCCACATACTTTTAATAGAGTATATACAGACATATAAAATAAAAAAAAAAACATAAAAAAAAAAATAACCTTTTAATATTTTCCTTTTCCTGAAAACTGCTATGAAAAAAAAAAAAAAAAAAACTCTGAAAAAATTATAGCGATGTCTGTGGTCCTTTTTAATAGCGAGATATTTTTTCAATGTTAAAATTATATGGAATCTAGAAATGATGTGAGAACCTCTTGTCTAACCAAAATATCACCTCCATTTTGGCGTTAGTCCATCTGGGGATCTCCACAACCATGTTGAAAATTGTGTTCTGTGCATCGGCCACAAGTGGAATATCATGGAACGGTGATATGGCGATTCCATCAGGATTCTCTGCAATAGAAGACTTTATGACATTAAGGTGTGCAAGACAAATGAAGGAGAGAATAGAGAAAAGCTCAATTATGTATAGCGTCTGTCTCAATTAGTTTCTTCTTTTTTTTTAAAAAAAATAGGTCAAGTTTGGATAACTCGATTTGTTAACAATGAATTTTAGACTTGATTATTACAAGATGAGCCATTACAAGATGAGCCATTAGAAAATGAGCCATTAGAAGATGAGCCATTACAAGATGATATATTATAAGATGAGCCAGTGCAAGATGAGGCATTAAAAGATGAGCCATTAGAAGATGAACCATTACAAGTTGAGCCATTAAAAGATAAGACATTTCAGTAAGGAGCCATTACAAGATGAGCCATTACCGGGTGAGCCTGTAGAAGATGAACCAGATTACATTTATTTGAAAATACTAAAATATAATACTTTCACTCACATATTGGCCAGCAGCATCGACCAGTCCGAATATTTCATGGTTGGAGGATGGCATACCTTCATGGCAGGGGTTCTTAATTTATGGAACACGGACACTTAGTGTCAGGGGTCATTCAGATTTATTTCCTTTTGTAATATTAGTGATCATTTGTATTTAAAAACTAAATTATAATAAAGGGACCGTCGCCTTCATGTGACTGGCTCTAAAGGGTACATGGAACAATAAGAGGTTAAGAACCCCTGCTTTATAGTTTTGAACCAGGTCTAGGAATCTGCTCCAATGAGGAGGTAATGTTCAAACGAGAAGAAATGTTGAAATGATGTTATAGGTGATGTTCAAGTGAGGGAGGTCATGTTCAAGATAGTGGGTTTAGTTCTATTTTTTTTTAAATGGGGAGGGGGGGGGGTTTGATGTTAAAGTGACGTCATGGATGTTACCTTCATTGTTGCCTGAGACTTGTCTGCTTGTGTCCCCAGCAGAATTTAAACCTAATTTCTGTAACTCTTCGACAATCGTATCATCACCACTTGAGCGATCTTGGGGTGAAACAAGTCATTCAGAATAACCAAGTCAATTGTATGGACATTACGTTGTCAACATGAGACAAGTCTGGTAATCCATTTATTTGCTGGACGCTGAGAGACAAGTGTCCAGGAGTACACATTTTTATTGGATGTGCAGTCAAGGGGTATAACCCATTAGTTGGATGTACAGTCAAGGGGTATAACCCATTAGTTGGATGTACAGTCAAGGGGTATAACCCATTAGTTGGATGTACAGTCAAGGGGTATAAACCATTAGTTGGATGTACAGTTAAGGGGTATAATCCATTAGTTGGATGTACAGTCAAGGGGGTATAACCCATTAGTTGGATGTACAATCAAGGGGGTATAACCCATTAGTTGGGTGCCCAGTCAAGGGCTATAACCCATTATTTGGATGTACAGTCAAGGGCTATAACCCATTAGTTGGATGCACAGTCAAGGGCTATAACCCATTAGTTGGATGCACAGTCAAGGGCTATAACCCATTAGTTGGATGCACAGTCAAGGGCTATAACCCATTAGTTGGATGTACAGACTAATACAGAACAAAATTATTGCCACCTACACCCTTCCTCAACTCCAAACCCCTTAGCTAAGCTAAGATTCAACCTAATGGCTGACCGTGAAGTTCACTTCATATAGCGGCCGTCCAACAACCGGGTCGGACGTAGGTTTGAATCGGTCTACTTCACAAAGGTCTCCCATCATTCACAAAGGTCTCCAGCATTCACAAAGGTCTCCATCATTCACAAAGGTCTCCATCATTCCCTCCATCATTCACAAAGGTCTCCATCATTCACAAAGGTCTCCATCATTCCCTCCATCATTCACAAAGGTTTCCGTCAAATGTAGAGCCTAGCTCTGGGCCCGCTGTTCGTTTTAAAACACTAATTAAAACACGAGCATATCAAGTTACCCATTAACGTTTAGCTGTGAATAAATTATAATTTAATTCGTCCAAAGTGTTCCATTACAACTCCAGGGCAAGCAGATTTATGAGGACATACAATTACTCATGAGTAGTGCCGGCTGTACTATGAACATAGTGCTACACGCGTTATGGCCTTCTGATTGGACGCATCTCGCATGCCACCGACTCGAAAGCAGTTTCTTCACCATTTATAGCAGTGGCTCTCAACCTTTCTAATCCCGCGACCCTTTTACGCAGAGCCTCGTGTTGTGGCGACCCTTAACCACAAAATTGTTATCGTTGCTGCTTCATAACTGTTGGGTATGTGTGTTTTCCGATGGTCTCAGGCGACCCTCTGAAAGGGTCATTCGACCACCAAAGGGGTCGCGACCCACAGGTTGAGAACGGCTGATTTATAACGATTTAACTCTGGCTGCCAGGTTCAAATAGCAAAATCTAATTTAGTGAGTACATCTTTAATTGGTCTTCTTTCACAAGATATGGGTGTCCGCCAATATACTGAGGATATTTATAACCGACCCCCCCCCCAACCCCAGCAACTTGATACGATATGGCTATAGCTATCCAGTATATGCGATAAAGCCATCCAGTATGTTTATAAATAAACCCTAACTTGATGCGATATAGCCAGCCAGTATGTTTATAACCAGACCCAACTAACTTCATACGATATAGAGTAACCGGCATGTAGCTATAATGTAACCTGAATACTTAGTCACTGGGATGTAGAATATCAAACCTAAATACTTAGTCACCGGGATGTAGCTATGTAACATGAATACTTAGTCACTGGCATGTAGCTATATAACGTAAATACTTAGATCTAGTCACTGGCATGTAGCTATGTAACCCTAAATACTTGGTAAAAGTTAATTTAAAACAAAACTCACTGAAGAACACTCTGTAGCTCTCAGTATTGGGATATCCCTTTTCTACAGTAGAGTAAGCCATGATCTCTCAACACAGAGTTTGTTAACTGTAGAACTTTGGCATAGAGACTAGATGAAACACGTCTTAGGACACGCTATTATAAGGTATACAGTGAATGCCATTGATTATTTCATACTTAGCCGACTGCATGCTTGAACTGGTATTCAAACACCACACGCTCTTCGTTGGCCCTCAATGGGCTGTACTTGCTGTCAATGGCTTCGACTGGAACTGTCTGTAGTTCTGTGGTAAATCAATAGGTCCAACTGGGACTTTCAAATTGGTTTTATTGCCAATAGACTCGAAGAGGGCCGTGAGAGGGGGTTGATTAAGGGGGGGCATCCGCCCCCCGATGCAAAAATCGAAAGGAGGGGGTGGGGGTGGCATTTTTTCAGACTTTACCCCGGGTGCAACTTTTCCTTGACAGTCACTGTCAACAAGTCTACTCTGGTCAACCAGATCCCAGGTTTTTTGGTGAAGGCAACTGCAAGGAGGTCTAAGGTAGGTGATTGAAATCTAAAGACTCGTCTTTCATGTTTTCAGTAGTATTTTTTTTTTGAAGAGCCTGTATTTCAGTAGTGTGTATTTCAGTAGTCTGTATTTCAGTAGTCTGTATTTCAGTAGTCTGTATTTAAGTAGTCTGTATTTCAGTAGTGTGTATTTCAGTAGTCTGTATTTCAGTAGTCTGTATTTCAGTAGTCTGTATTTCAGTAGTCTGTATTTCAGTAGTGTGTATTTCAGTAGTCTGTATTTCAGTAGTCTGTATTTCAGTAGTGTGTATTTTAGTAGTGTGTATTTCAGTAGTCTGTATTTCAGTAGTCTGTATTTCAGTAGTCTGTATTTCAGTAGTCTGTATTTCAGTAGTCTGTATTTCAGTAGTCTGTATTTCAGTAGTCTGTATTTCAGTAGTGTGTATTTCAGTAGTGTGTATTTCAGTAGTCTGTATTTCAGTAGTGTGTATTTCAGTAGTGTGTATTTCAGTAGTCTGTATTTCAGTAGTCTATATTTCAGTAGTGTGTATTTCAGTAGTCTGTATTTCATTAGACTGTATATAAAAGTTTTATATAAGTTGTCTTTATTTTAGAAGCCTGTATTTCAGTAGTCTGTATTTAAGTAGTCTGTATTTCAGTAGTGTGTATTTCAGTAGTATGTATTTCAGTAGTGTGTATTTCAGTAGTCTGTATTTCAGTAGTCTGTATTTCAGTAGTCTGTATTTCAGTAGTCTGTATTTCAGTAGTGTGTATTTCAGTAGTCTGTATTTCAGTAGTGTGTATTTCAGTAGTCTGTATTTCAGTAGTGTGTATTTCAGTAGTCTGTATTTCATTAGACTGTATATAAAAGTTTTATATAAGTTGTCTTTATTTTAGTAGCCTGTATTTCAGTAGTCTGTATTTAAGTAGTCTGTATTTGACTGTAGTCTATATTTAAGTGGTATATTTTTCAGCAGTTTGTATTTCAGTAGTGTGTATTTCAGTAGTGTGTATTTCAGTAGTCTGTATTTCAGTAGTCTATATTTCAGTAGTGTGTATTTCAGTATTGTGTATTTCAGTAGTCTGTATTTCAGTAGTCTGTATTTCAGTAGTCTGTATTTCAGTAGTGTGTATTTCAGTAGTCTGTATTTCAGTAGTCTGTATTTCAGTAGTGTGTATTTCATTTGTCTGTATTTCATTAGTCTGTATTTAAGAAGTTTTATATAAGTTGTCTTTATTTTAGTAGCCTGTATTTCAGTAGTCTGTATTTCAGTAGTCTGTATTTCAGTAGTCTGTATTTCAGTAGTGTGTATTTCATTAGTCTGTATTTCATTAGTCTGTATTTAAGAAGTTTTATATAAGTTGTCTTTATTTTAGTAGCCTGTATTTCAGTAGTCTGTATTTCAGTAGTCTGTATTTCAGTAGTGTGTATTTCAGTAGTGTGTATTTCAGTAGTCTGTATTTCATTAGTCTGTATTTAAGAAGTTTTATATAAGTTGTCTTTATTTTAGTAGCCTGTATCTCAGTAGTCTGTATTTAAGTAGTCTGTATTTGACTGTAATCTATATTTAAGTAGTATATTTTTCAGCAGTTTGTATTTCAGTAGTCTGTATTTAAGTATTAAGGATTTAAGTAGTCTGTATTTCAGTACTTTGTGTTGACGAGCTACAAGGTATACAAATAGTTTTAAGGATTTCGAGCACCAAATTCGGACAAATGCTGTACATTTTTATATGGATTAAAAATGCGTGCCCATGTCAGTGATTGCGAACCTGTTAGAGGCAGAGTGCCCTAACTGCAAACACAAAAGCCACTTATTTAGGGTAATATACCAACAGAGCAATTAAACCCGAACACCGAAGTTCTAGTTCAGAAAATAAAACTCTTACACACACTTGCAAGGTTCACCACCACTGGTCTACACCATCACGACACCAACTTATACAAAAATATATGTATAATAAAATTTAACATTTTTTAAAAAATATTTAAAAGAATCAAAATTAGGATCGAGGAAAAAATAAATAAATTGCCCATAGAAGTAAGCATGCAGTGGCGTAGCTAGGGATTTGGAGGCCCGGGGGCTTGGCCTCTTTAGGGGCCCCTGCATTTTGACATTCGACATTATTTAATGTAAAAAAAAATTTGAACACGCCTTTGGGTCCGCCCTCAAGTTTTGGGATGGCCAGCCCGGGGGGGACTTTCAAATTTGGACCCCCCCCTCTCCCCTAGCTACGTCCCTGTAAGCATGTAGATAAATTTTTGCTTTTATTCAAAAAATAAATTTGTTAAAAGTGATCCTACCCCATCCCCCAAAGTGACAGCACCCCCCAATAGGGTGGAGAGAAAGGGAGGGGTGGGGGTCATATTCTTATCACCAGGTTTCTTCGATCAACTTGATAGATATATTAAATACTATTTACATACTCTGTGCATCGTTTTCATAATTGAATAAACTTTACAGTAATTTACAGTTGATAATGGATAGAAATGAAATGATTGCCAGTGAGATATATATATGAAAATGAGAAGTTGAAACAAATCAAAGAATTTCGCTTATCTGGACGAGGTGCTAGTAAGAGGTAGGGGCGTTTTTTTTCTCACCAGTCTATTCAAATTGTATTTCTTTTTTAATTCTTCTATTTTTTGTGACGACCAGCTGGGTTTTTTCTTCTATTTTGTGACGACCAGCTGGGTTTTGTCTTCTATTTTGGGATGGCCAGCTGGGTTTTTTTTCTTTTCAAATTGATTCGTCTAAAAATAAAACTGATTTAACTTAACATAAATAATAAATGAAACTTTGGAATAGTTTTTAAAATCAATTTTTTTTTTTAAAGGGAGGTTATGAAAATTAAATTATGCGCGCCAAGAAATAATAGGATTGCAGGACTTGGCTCATCTAAACTCATTTTTTACCAACAGAGCTTGTGATGCATTTTTTTGTGTTCAGAAATATAAAATGAATTTATCCTAGGAATCTTAACTAAATATAAAATTAGTATCCGTACTTCCGATGACTATTCCAAAAATAAGAGGACCATTCCCAATACTCAAAAGTCCTTTAGAAATGATGTCATTATACTTTAAAAATAAGGTGTTGTTTCACTTAACTCCGATGTGATTCGCTTTTTTATTTATTTTATTTATTATTATATTTTTTAAATTTTTTTGTTTGTTTGTTGTTTTGTTTTTGTAGTTGTTATAAAGCATGCAAAAAATAAAGTTTTTTTCTTTAATTAAAAAGAAGGAAATAAAAACCAAACGCATAGTATTATAAACGGAGATATCATGACGTAGTACCTTCAGCAGCTTTATACAGCTTTGTATTTATTGTTTCGGTATAAAACGATATATCACGAGGCTGAAAAGTTTCTCAATGGCTCTTTATCCTGCGGTGTAAGATCTTATTATCCTGGTGTGTAAGGCCTCGTTATCCCAGTGTGTTGGGCCTCGTTATCCTGGTGTGTTGGGCCTCGTTATCCTGGTGTGTAGGGCCTCGTTATCCTGGTGTGTAAAGCCTCGTTATCCTGGTGTGTAAGGCCTAGTTATCCTGGTGTGTAAGGCCTCGTTATCCTGGTGTGTAAGGCCTAGTTATCCTGGTGTGTAAGGCCTAGTTATCCTGGTGTGTAAGGCCTCATTATCCTGGTGTGTAAGGTCTAGTTATCCTGGTGTGTAAGGCCTAGATATCCTGGTGTGTAAAACCTCGTTATCCTGGTGTGTAGGGCCTCGTTATCCTGATGTGTAAAGCCTCGTTATCCTGATGTGTAAAGCCTTGTTATCCTGATGTGTAAAACCTCGTTATCCTGATGTGTAAAGCCTCGTTATCCTGGTGTGTAAGGCCTCGTTATCCTGGTGTGTAAGGCCTCGGTATCCTGATGTGTAAAGCCTCGTTATCCTGGTGTGTAAGATCTAATTTATACCCTTATCGTATGCGTAAAGCTTAACTCATACAATAAGACACATCATAATTTGACATACATTTTACGAACATTGTGTCGGTGCACAGAGCACCTGGTTCATTAGACACATGGCACCAGGTTCATTAGGCACAGAGCACCAGGAACATAAGGCACAGAGCACCAGGAACATTAGGCACAGAGCACCAGGAACATTAGGCACAGAGCACCAGGAACATTAGGCACAGAGCACCAGGAACATTAGGCACAGAGCACCAGGAACATTAGGCACAGAGCACCAGGAACATTAGGCACAGAGCACCAGGTACATTAGGCACAGAGCACCAGGAACATTAGGCACAGAGCACCAGGAACATTAGGCACAGCGCACCAGGTTCATTTGCCCCCCCACCCCCGTCCCACACACACACACCCGTCCTCGAGTAAGATCTTGATATTTAAATCTAACTGACCTCGCCAGATTGAACATGGTTGAGAAAACGACCTTTAAGGACGAAGGCCACTTATGAGTCTACACAATTTAAAGGGCACATTTCTCTTCTAAATGAGATTGCTAGTTTGCTGCACGCCTCCTCTCAGCGAAGCGTAACTTGAAAACTTTTCATCCTCCCGTGACGTAAACACGGGAGTGTGTGACCGATCTCTGTGTCCTGTTTTGGCTTACCTCT